ATATTGCATTCAAATCACCCCTGATTACATATGCTATGCTTATCTGATCTGTTGTTTTTCTTCACATATGCATATTGCTAGCTTTCATGGAACACCTTTTTTCCTAAAATATGCTGAATTGTTCTTTCTTTCCTATTATATCCACTAATTTTTCTGTTAAAAGAATCAACGCCAAGGGACGCATCTACAGAGTTTACAGTCAGTCTCAAAGGGGCTACTAGATCCTTTTGCATACTAACATCCCAGACTAACATGACCATAAGGTACATCTGTACTAAAGAAATGCTAAAATAGTAACTAAGGAAACCTATACATGAGACAATACCCAATAAAAGTATAAGAATGCTTAACAAAGTAATTCCTCTAAGGCTGCGGTAACTTTTTCAAGGACAATTCTTATGTCAGAAAGCAGTTGTGAAGACACAGTTATTAATATATGAAATTTACCAAACCATTAAAATGCACCAAACTGCCATAACAACTTGGTCTTGGGCAGCTAAAATATTGGTTAAGTGGTTAATGCACATCCTTTCTGCAGAACCAAGAGACTGAGAATTGCACATAAGGAAACAGCAGCAAAAGGTGCTTTCATGTGAGCTTGTATAGCAAAACTGGGCATTTTTTGAGAGCAGGTGTAAACTATGACATAATTGTGTGGATTCAAAACAGTAAACTCCACACAATTATGTCATGGCTTACACCTGCTGTCAAAACGACAGATGATAATGCATGCACCCATTTTCAACAGAAATATTTGAGGGAATATTCAAGGAGATAAAGGGATAACATCTGATAACTACCATATTTACTTAAATCTAATGCTCATCTTTTTTTTGCTAAATTACTTTGCAAAAATTAAAGTGCTCATTAGATTAGCACAATATGGTAATCTTAATACTGAGCCAATGTGAAAGGGGATGTTCTTCAGGAGCTCCTATTTGAGGTATGTCATCTCAAATTTAATTACCATGGCTTAATACTATTAGACTGAAGACCCACAGGTAGCAGGTTCGAATCTGGGGAGAGGCGGATGAGTTGCCTCTGTCAGCTCCAGCTCCTCAAGCAGTGACATGAGAGAAGCCTCCCACAAGGATGATAAAACATCAAATCATCCAGGCGTCCCCTGGGCAACGTCCTTGCAGACGGCCAATTCTCTTACACCAGAAGCAACTTGCAGTTTCTCAAGTCTCTCCTGACACGACAAAAAACAAAAACAAACTATTCGATCCTGAGATTTGTAGTATGGTGAGGCATCAGCCTTCTAAGGCAGAGAAAACTCAAGACCTAGTAAAACTACATAATTTCACAGGATTGAACCAGGGCAGT